GGGATTGGCGTGCCATCTTATTGGGACATTACCCACCCTTCCAAGACGACGTCTTCGTGCTGAACATGTTCCACTTGGCCTGACGAACGATTCTGTGGGTCATGTGGTGGCAACTATGCGTCCTGACTCTAGACCACGTTGGGGTAGAGGGCGAAGAAAGGCTGGAACAACTCAAAGTGCACTTCCAACTGAAACTCTCTCATAGATGGAAAACATTGAAGCAAACACTAGACAACCTCCACAGAGTCACTGACATCCAAGAACGACTCCTACAGTTCTCTAGGGAGTGGCTGGGTGGGGACCGGGAGGGCTGGGTAGCGGGAATACGCTGGTCAGGGTTTTGGGATGGAGAGAGGGGGGGGGGAGGGCGACCTCCGAGAGCAAATGCCTAGGGACTACCGACTGAAATTTAAGGACTGGCTGACTGTAGACCCCAATTTCCCCATGCGTCCCGCAGAAGAGTTTCCAGACCCGTTCCCTCCCCACCCACATGCCTTGGAAATATGCCTATAGCCGACAACAAGTCCCCACTGTTATGATGCAGCCAAAGTCCCGTTTTCCTCTTCCCTCTACTCTGTCTTTCTCCCTTTTCTTGCATCCCTGTCTAGGTAGTAGCCTGGCTCGCAGTCTCTCTGTTTGCCTTTTTGGTGATCCCCACTTGGTCTAGTCATTTTATGTCCGGTTTTCCTCATCTGTTCCCTATTGTTCTACTCCGCTCTGGTTAGTCTGTTAGTCCGTGTTTCAGCCTGACTAGGCTGCAGTCTATTTTCTTCAGTTTAGCCTGGCCTATCACAGTTTCAGTCATTTTTCGTTTAAGTCAGGGACTTTCCTTTTCTACTACATTCGAACGGGCATCCCTCTGCAAGCTCCAATACTTTGTTCTGATGCAGTGTGGGTGTGTGGCAGCAAGGGGGTCGGTTAGAGGAGAGGGTCTAGTGGCGATCTTCTTTGGGAGATGGGCAGGGAAGACGATGGAGTCCCCACTAGTGCCCCCCAGTGGCTCCTCCCGGCTCCCTGACTAGGTACAGGGTTGGAGAGGCCCAGAGGGTGATGGCGGCCATCTTGCTTCCACTTTCACACCTGCTCAGTCAATCCTCTGGTCTCCAGAGCAATCAATGCTGGCAGGTTTCCTCCAGACACCATCCAATTTTCTTTTTCACCATGCTGTATCCAATATGTAAGGGACGCTGGACCCGTTTTCCAGCAGGTGATGCTCCCCACCAATAGATGGAGCCTCCCCCTGGGTGCTAGCGATGTCTGTTATAACAGCACCACTAGCACTGGAGGGTTCAGTCAAAAAAAAAAATAAAAAAAATTGAAATCCTGCCTATTAGTTCTATATGGTCACTCCATCTATTGGTGGGGAGCTGGATGTGTAGCTCAGTGGTTAGAGCACCGGTTGGAAATGCGCATTGTGGTATGAGGTTGCGGGTTCAAAACTCCGCTGCCTTGCGCATGGACACCGACAGGGCGCTAAGATGACGCATGGTTGGACACACACCCCCTTGGGATGACGCAGGTAAGTTATTACACACACTGCCTGCGCACCACCCAAGGGGTAGTCCATGGTTGTTGTATGTGGGGACTGGGCGATGGTGGGTATCCTGATGTTCTTGGTCTACGGGGTTGTCATGTGACTGCTGGGTGGTTCGCATAGTCCGGTTTACTCGAGGCTAGCAGAGCACAGCTACAGACTATTTCACAGTGTATGTTAATAAATTAGGTCACTTGCACGATTCACATAAAGTCCTGTGTTCGATACCAGACTGTAACTTAGGGCTGGTCATCCTCTTAGTACGTGGTCAAAGGATTGAGGCTGGCATAGCCGTTCCTTAGTACGGGATGTCGGGAGTGTCAGGACATCGTGGTCTAACACTTTACCGCAGGGCCGGAACGGGCTCCAGGGATATACGAGGGAACAGAGGATTATCTGCTCTCAGATTATCATACAACACAAGGCCTAGAGATTATCCAGGGCCAATACATACAGTCCATGATTCACGATTGAGGGTGGGCTATCCTCCTAGTATGTACCTTAGAGTTGAGGCTGGCATAGCAGTCCTTAGTACGGATGTCGGGGTGTCAGGAGATACTGCACCTTACCGCGGGGCCGAAACGGGCTCCAAGGACATACGAGGGAACATAGAATCCTCATCTCTCTACCATCAACATCATAGTACACTGTAGTAAAAGGACAATATAAGCATAAAGAAACTCAGTCCATAAATCATGACCTAGGGTTGGCTATCCTCCTAGTACATAACATAGGGTTGAGGCTGGCATAGCAGTTCCTTAGTATGGGATGTCGGGGGTGTCATGGCCGGAACGGGCTCCAGGGACATACGAGGGAACGGAGGATACCCAGTAACCCAGCTCTCTATCATCACCATACAACTAAGCTAGATAGGAGTCACGGTGCACCCTCATGAAGACCTGTAGTAGCACGTTCAAACCTAGCTCCTGAAGTCCCCGTGCAATCAGGCTTGCACGGCGTCTGCTTCAACTGGGGTTGAGCAGGGGGTAGGCACCTCTGCTTAGCCCCGGTACCTGCAACCACTATCTGGGCAGGTCACCCAGCTTGATGGCAATGGGTGATGGTCCTGGGTGGTTAACACTAGGGTAGGACAGGGGGGGTGGGGGTGCGTCGGGGCAAAAAGATAAGAGGAAGGGTGGGTGGGGTCTTCAGAGGGGTTCATCTGAACAACCGAGTGGCCGAGTACAGTGGGTGACTGCCATCCGTTTAGTAACCCACCTCTACAACAACCTGGGCTTAAAAAAAAAAAAAAAAAGGATGAGGGGAAGGGTTCTCGAAAATGAGAGAGGGGGCGCATGGGAATGGAGGGGCCTATTATAGACCACTCCTTAAACAATAATTGATAGTTCCTACATATTTCCTCATTATCATCACCCTGAGGCCCATCCCACTGAACCCTTCCAATTTCCCCCGCCCTGATTTCCCCCCAGCCCGCAGGGACTAAAGTCTTGGATGTGTTTAAAAATTTCATGACAGGAAAATAAGTCTTGAACTTTTTCTTTCGTTTATTCCCACTTTTTTCTTTCGTTTGTTCCCACTTTGTAGAGATCACATTTTGAATTTGTTGTTTGTTTATGTCTGTAAATTCTGGACCATGACTCCTTTCCATTCAAAAATATATGTTTTTAGCTAAATTGCCCACATGATCGCCCTCCTCCCAATAATGAAAAGATTTTGAGTAAAGTCATAATATAAATCGACTACCCAGGATTCCAATAAGATGGCATTCCAATTCCAAGGACATGGAGTTTGGGGCACTATCTGACTCCAAATCCTTTCCCACCATCTCCACAACCAAATCACTCTCAAACACTGCAAAGACATATGCTCAATGGTTTTTGGGATTGTTTTGGTCGGGAATGCCAAGTTACGAAACTTACACCGGGGAGAGACTAAACCCTTTTGTTCCAAAGAAGAGCGGTCAATCAACCATTCATTGGTAGGGAGACAACAATGTTCAATTTGCCATTGTAGGAAGACCATTTTTGTAAGCCCAGATTTCATAATACTATTATACTAAACTATTTAATGTTTCTTAAATCTTTCCGTATTGAGGAGTTTCATCCATCTAGCCGTCACCACCTGCTTCAAATTGATTTTTGGGTGAAGCAAACAGTATGTTGATTTAACTGTCAAAGTATGAATAGTCCTGGTAAATTTTCTTTGTTTTTTCCAGCTGAATACCATAACCTATTAATCGGATTCAATGCTAGTTGTAAAATTGGGGTACTTGGTGTAAAGGTTAGCCTTTTTATTTTTTATTTTTAGTACTCCAATTCTTAAAATCTGGTTAACCATTACCTATTTAATCTTCCCTTGCTTCTAAGGTAAGACCTCATTCTCTTGTGCTAGATCGAAAAAAGAAATCAAGATGTCTCCAATATGGTATTTATCTAAAACATTACCAATTTCTCCTAGTGGATATTTGATAGTCACCCAATCATTAACATCAATTTTTGACCCTTTTCTGAGTATACATACCCAATCCAAAGGAATTAAGAGTATTATTTTTTCTAAGGCTTCCTCTGAATGGTGGCAGTACCTCAGGTGTTTTTGTATGTTTAAATTTGATATCATTTGCATTTAAATCCCAAATGTCCTTAATCTTAAGCACACCCTTCCTAATCCATCCTGACCATGGAAAATCCATATAGTGAAGTGTATATCCTATTGAGTCTCTCATTCATATATCATTGAAAAAGGGTTGTTGGCAAACCTTTGCCCACCGTTTTGGAGCTACTTTATCTGGCAATGATAATTTCTGCTATGTTTTAAGTACGGTGGAGCAAAATGGGTCCATACAACTATCTACCATAGTTACAATTCTGTAAAAGTACTTCATCCCTCAATTCCTTGTTAAAACTTATGGGTATAGACTAAAAGCGATTTTCAAGCCACATAAAGGGTCTACACTCTCGAATGTAGTGAGTGCTTATTGTTTGATTTGTTCCCAGCCTACCATACTCTAAGGAGTCTGAGGGTTAAAAAGTAAACGCTTGATCCATCGAATACATAGCCCGAGTGGTTGGGTCTATTATACTTAGTCCTCCTCTTGTCTTAGGTTGAATTACTGATTGACATGAAACCCTACTAATTACATGTAC